CTGATGGCCTTATAAATGCTTTGGTATTATGATTTCATCCCTCAGACATGGCTCAGCAGGCATCTGCAAATGGCCAACTCCAACTCTATCCAGCCTGCCTGGACAACAAAGGCGCAAAAGCACTGGTCAGCAAGCTCTATGGCTGGTCAGTTGATCACATTAAGAAACTACCGGGCTATGATGACCTGAATTTCTACATCAGGTCCGCCAGCACTTCCTCCCAGCACAGCGAGTTTGTCCTCAAGGTCATGAACTCGCGGGATTCTGGCAACCGTGCCTGGTTGGAGGCCCAGACAGATGTCTTGCTTCACCTCACTGAGCGTGGGATCCACTGCTCGACCCCTGTGAAAAATCTGCAAGGCGATTACCTCAGTTTGGAAGAAATAGTTGATGAATGTAAGGCTTGTCAAATTGGCTTGTACAGTTTACAAGCTCTCTGTAAATTGGAGGGGTTGATAACAGGAGCTGTAGGGCATGATCAGTCAATCAGTACGATTATACTGCCAGTCTGTCCAATATGAAATCCCTGACTTTACTTCCCTTTTTCTAAACAATCCTCCACAACCATTAACAAGAAAGTACAGGTTGATTGGCTTACATTTGTATTATTGGCAGATTGTGCAATAACACCAGCAAATCATGCAAAGATTGCGCAGATTAGCTAATCGATTTGGACAGAAATTATACTGATATTCAAAATTTCTTTGCAGGCTTTATCTGAACTGGAACCACTGTTATCATCTTACAGTATTTCTTAGGCTTGCTGTTACAGGAATTTTTCAACGCATCCATCCTAAAAATTTAGAATGCAATATGGACAGGTCCAACTAGACTGATCCATTATTTTGATGTCACATTGGCACTGTGTTCATTGGCACTACACTTGCAGATCCCTTTTTAACTGCGACACATGTGTGCGTTTTAGTAAGCCATTGCACACCTGTTTTCTTGAAACTGAATGGTTCCTGACTTTAGTCTGGACTGCTGAATAGTGACACAATTGAAGGAAACCTACGTGTGGTTGAACGAACATTTTTATTGCTTGATGTAGCCTCACTGCACCTTTTAGTTTGTAAGTCAAAATGTGAGACAAAGAAGGAAACATTTCTTTCGTTTTTCTCTCCCTTCAGCTGGCAAGCAGCCGGCAGGCCTGAAGTTCATCGTGCGCATGCTGATGTTCCTCCCAGGCAAAATGGTCAGGGACCTGTACCAGCCAAACATGGCTGTGCCGGATAAGTGGTTCTACGTCATGGGGCAGAATCTGGGAACTATGGACAAGGCCTTGCTGGTAAGGCACATGGGTGATTGATGTTAGACGGTATTTGGTCATGTGCCCAGTTTTACAACGTAGGCTTTAGTAAAGTGCCCTGTCAAAACAGCCGTCAGTGTCAGGGCAGAACTCGTTATTAAATATCAACATCCCCCGATTAAAAAAACAACACATCTTTGGAGTGAAATACACAGGTCTTCAGTCAGCTTATCGTACATATACCTCACAGAGGTCTTTTTAACCAGGAATCGTCCTGAATCTTCCGAAACTCCACACGTTTAAAAAAAAAAAACGGGTCCATTCTTTGCACTCTAAAGTCACAGTGGCTAGGTTTTACTTTCTTCAATCCTGGAAAATCTTCCCAAACCAATCGGTAGATTTGGGGGAACTTGGAGGGCTATATGTTTCAATATAGCTTTTATTACTGTAGGGAATGCAGGGTGCACATCAGAATTTTACAATTTTTTGGGGGAGGGGGTCGTAAATTGGAGGTTAAGTTTATTCAGGTATTTTTAAACTCTAAAGAGAGTCATGAAAACTTTTTGAAACAAGACTTGAAATGTTTCCCAATCTTGTGTATGCTATTTGTTTCATTTTTGGAATGACTGATGATCATTGAGGTCAGATGTGGTTAAAAGAAAGTAGTGTCACTTTCGGACCCAAAATATGCAAAATTACAACAAAGAAGTCATTTGACGAAGACATGGTAGATTTTTATGATGACATGAACAGAAGGAACAAATATTTATTTCCAGGTGTAAAACAAATTCAGTTTGAAGTTGGTGGAAATCTGCATGGTTTTATGTACTACCAAGAATGGCTTTTCCTTGTTTGCTCACCGACCTTGCAGGAATTCCACGAGCCATCGCTGGCAGTCTTGGAGAAGCAAGCCTCTGAGTACAAGTGGTCACCGCAGTGCGTTCCACATGTGCGCGACATCCTCTGGGCGGTCACAGATATAGACAAACGCAAGCTGGCAGAGGGCATCCTGGATGAATTTGAAGTTCAGGTCGTGCCAAAGATTGGTAGCTTACGACGATGTAAGTAAAAAATTAAAAATGGCATTCCCTAAGTGTTTTCAAAGTTAAAGACAGTGTACAGAATTTTCATGTACTGCAGTTTGTCTAAATTTGCCAATTTTGTGGTTTGAGATTTACTTTGTGTATCACTTCAAGGACCCGTTTCATTTCTTGAGTTCACTGCTTTGAGGGAAATCAAGAAAAACGCTGTTCATTTTTAACACTCATAGCGTAGCTTGTGTAATTTGTCTCGCAAAAATCCATGGGCCACAGGACGTTCCCGAGTGCCCAGACAGTGCACCATTTCTGGCCCTCAAATATGCATTTTATCCATGGCTTTGGACAATGACAACAAACTTCCACACTTTCATTGAAAAAATGTTAATTATTTCAAACGAGTCCAAGTTATCGTGATGATCTTTGAAAAAAATCTAACATTTGTCTTTTTTTAAAAATGACAGCATTCCTGGTGGTAAGATTTCACAGCTTGTCAGGTACTATTAACCACTTCCCGCTGGTAGAGTTTGCACATGCGGGACGAGTTAACGGGCAATTTTTCATGATTTTTCCGTTTTCAAAATTGTTCAAAAATTCATAACTTCATTTACTAGATGCTTACACCCACACGAATGACTGTCTGGTGGCTACTCTAATCTTACAGGCAACCTCAGTTGACACCAGGGTATTGCAGCTAGGCCTGCCGCCCAGTAAAGAGAGCCCAGAATTGTGTGGTGTCGCATAATTTTCTTTGTTCCCCAAATTGGCCCGGTGCATTGCCAAATGGCAGTGTTGTCTTTACAAATGCAGCCAGATTAGCATGCATCAGTATTGTATCGCTCATCACTGGAGTGCTGGAGCACTCTTGTCCCCGCTGATAATCCACGGTTGCTGAATGCCACAAACAGTGGTATACTGTTTCAAAACAATGACGGATTACCTCCGAAAATGCCAGGACTTTGCTGAAAATTTTTGGCAACTTCCAGCGGCTCTGTCTTTCGTTCCAAGTCCGGTCTTTTGTTAAAAGGCTCAGTTTGTTTTGTCTGATTTCGGGCACTCCGGCGGTGCATATAAAGCCAACGTCTCCAGTCCCAGGCTCCTTGGCGCTGAGTGGTGAAGAACCTACTTCACACTAAGAAATTTCAAGATAATTCAACAGTCCCATTTTTGAGATCTTGCAAATCCCATACACAGTCTTTAAATTGACATAGGTACACTCTAGGTTTCCTTTGTGGTTGTAGGTGGTTGTAACTTAAGTGACCAGGCTATAGAATGAAAGTGTCTTGTGGCTAAGGTCACTCGTTTGAAAGTTATTCACTTTTGAGTCGTTCAACAAGTTTAATATAACATTTTTCTGATATTTATGAGATATAGATACCATAGATATTTATGCACTACCAGTACATTCTGAAATACTGTTTGTGAACTGTGCATGTCATGATTTTGATGTGGTTTTTCTCAACCAGGGTAGTCCTATAAGTTACCAAAAACTGTTCTCTCTTTGGGTTCAGGGAAAAAACGAGTGATACCTTGGTTTTAGAAGTGGGTGGAAAATCTCAGATAAATATGTAGCAGAAACCCCACAGAATCAGGTAGGGACTGAAAAGCTAATCCACATGCCGGCTTGGGTAGTATTCGAACCTGGCCACAGAGATAGAAGGTAAGGAAAGTATCACTTTGCTAATCCCACATACCTTGCTATGATGGAAGGACTTGAGCAGTTAGAATTTGTTGCTTGTCATTTCTCTAGCTGTAATCCATACAGACTTCAATGACATGAACATTATCAGCTTGGGCAATGGCCCTGTGCCCAGCAAGGCTGACTGGCACACGGCCGGTGGCCCGGACATTCCAGCCCATCAGGACTCGCAGCTCCAGGCCCTGGGGGCCATCGACTTCTCGGACATTGTCTGCTCCAGCTTGGTGTTTGACCCTGCCGACTCCCATGCGTATATGATGATGAGCCAATTGAATGGGGATCCGCTGGTCTCCGGTGGACACTTTCTGGCTGGTACGATTCTGAAATGTTGACATTCAAGTCTTGCTAGTGAGCCAAATCGGCATTTCAATTGTGGTTGTGATTATCAAGACTTTGGTAATTCAATATGAAAGCGGAAATGTGCAATATTAGGTCGATATTATGCATAATTTGTAAACAAAATGATATTTTTTCAGAAAAAAACGAGAGGGAAAATAACAGTTGAAACATTTATTTGCAGTTTCTTTATTGAAAAATGTCTTCTTGCTTCCAAGTTATAAATGATATTGAGATTTGTAACAAATGGCCAATCATAGTTTTCGCTTTGACGTTAAATAACAAACACAGAATGGTTTCTGCTGAATTCCACGGTTATCAAGGCTTTGACATCTTATTTTTGGGATCATTTTATTATCAGGCTACAACTCGGTGCTACCACTGACACCGACAGAGCTGGGTCTGATCCGGTGCTGCACCTCGGGCCGTCTGGTGCAGAGCCTCGTCAATGGTCTGCACGCATACTCGCAGGATCCCAGCGACGAGTACGTGCTGGACACACAGAGGACAGGCTGGAGCGTGCTGGAGCAACTTTGGAGCAAGTCCAACGACCAACTCCTGAGCCTGTGGGACAGGATCGCAGATTTATACCGTAAATAAGCATGGCAATTTTTACAACAGAGCTATGCGAATAGATTGCTGCAGTTAGCTAGGCAGCCTGTTGCTCATCCAGATGTGGTCAGGATTGACACTGCAAACATCGGGCCTTTTGACATAAACAATTATTAAATCGAATCATTCCAGCGTGTAAACAGTTTGCAGTAGTCTCTAATTCAGATCTCTATTATTGATTTTTAATTAAACAAAACGGAAGCAGAATTTATGGTACATGAGATATATGTATGTCTTTAGTGGCATTGTGTCATTTCATTGCTTCTAATATTGTAAGAGTGCATTTCTAAATGGTCACAAGGCTGACCCTAGCAATCTCTGCCCCCCTGGAAAATATTACCAAGATGGTGAGCATGTGATGTGTTAGGAGGTCTTCAAGTCTTGGCTCTGATGCTGTTTTCAGCTTTGCCCAATTTTTACCCCATCCCCAAATCTCTAGTTTTTAGCTCAGCAAACTGATTTTTGCTGGAGGAGTGAAGAACAGTTGAGCAAATGAAGAAAGATTTTTTTCACCCAGTTTGAACATGAGAGAAACCCGCTAGTGATTTCAGTGTTGGAGATGAAGCTAACATTTGGGAAACTCCCTTGCCCCACAGCGAGCGTAAGGTAAATGCCGCTTAGAGCCATTTCAGTGACTGTTGTAAACTTCATGATGAAGGAGCTGTCACCAAGCTGTGATTGTTTTTGTCCAAGATGTTCAGTATTCGAAAGTTTAACAGCTGCAGAACTTTTCTCGGAATTAACCGTGAGCATGCGTACAGTGTACATGTACATTGTGTAGTGTTTCTACACGTGCATGATTTCAACAGCGCTGTTAATAAATCTTTTCTGTACATCAGTTCATTAAACCGTGGTCATACATGCTCATCTGTTATCAATAATGTACCAAAGACCTGGTCAACATACAGACTCCTAATAGATCAACCGATACTGACAGGTCCGTCTGTAGTGAAGTCTCCCGTGTTGACTCACTCCGAACAAGACACTGACTTGATGTCAAAGTCTGGCAGTACAAGAAAAATCAAGCCTAGCCTCTCTCCAACGGATGTGAAAGGACTGCTCCAGCAATTGTACCCCATCAAGACTCAGCACGTCGAGGAGATCAGAGAATTCATCAGCTATGACGATCAGAACTTCCACGTCCGACTTGGAGGCGGGGAGTTGGCAGCGAGCATGGGCGGCCAGGAGTTTGTGCTGAAGGTGATCAACTCGGAAGATTCGGCTGACAAGGGTGCCTTCGATGTGCAAATCGCTGTCCTGCAATTCCTAAAAGCTAAGGGCTTCTGCTGTGCTGCACCAGTGGTAAACACGAACGGGAAATACCTGAGCTTGGAAGAGGTGTGCATGTCGGACAAAAGGACAGATCCTGATAATGGTGAGACAGTTTTGTCCATTTATAGTTTCATATTTATTTCATAAGACACTGGGCTGGTTACAGGGAAATTTTTCATAATGCCCCATTCAAGTTTGAATTGTAAGTAAAGTCCAAAGATCGTATAGCGCAGAAGGTGCAAGATGCATAACTCTGCCCAAAAGATGTACTTACCATGGGCGCCATTTGAGCAAGCGATACGCCTGCGCAGTTTACAGTAATGCTTCTGCGCAGGCTCACCAGGTGCATGTGGCTGCCGCAGCGCCTGCGCATTAATGTGCATTGTGCAGGTGTATCGCTTGCTCAAATGGCGCCCATGCGATTACAACATTTTACGTTTGTTTACGGCAAAGTTTGCCATCTTGCGCTGCTTTGCGGCGCTATACAATCTTTGGTCAAGTCCTAGGTTCTGCAGCGTTCATGTAATTCTGTGGTTAGTATGTGTCATTAATAGCAATACTGGGACACTGTAACATGTCTGCCGATCAGAATAAGAAGTCATCACTGTACTAGAATCGTGTTCACACGTAAATCTTACTCCTAGGCACAAATTAAATTTCAATAGATGGGGTGTTGTAACTTGACGTAATGGATCCATATTTTTGTTCAAGAACAAATGCAATGTTGGTGTGATTGCGATGTGGCAGTGGCTAGACAGTGAGATTTGGCCAGCAAAATAGAAATCGTTACTGCGGTGACAATAACGCTCATGGACAGAGGGTATGCATAAGTTACATGCCTCCTTGACCAATAGGATGCCGTGAATTGCCAAGTGTATGTACACTTGAGTGTGGGAATGAAGTTACTGTGCGTCTCCTCATAGTAGTCTAAAGTTGTGTATCATGGCTGCCGTGCTGCACAGAGCAAGGCTACTCTGTGTTATCCAATGTTGGATGGCAGTGCTGGTGTCAGACCAGCAGTACAAGACACCCCGGTTAGCTGCAAACCATATGAAGTACTTCCGTTGCTCCTCTACAGGTAACCCACAGCAAACTGGAGTTTTCCTGGTCTTTCTGCAAACGTACCTCCCTGGCCAGATGATGAGTACAATCGAACTACTTCCCGAACAGCTGTGCTTTGATGCAGGAAGGAAACTGGCTCAGATGGATCAACTTCTCTGGGTAAAACTTCGCATTCCTAGAAATTTTCACTTGAGGAAATCTGTCTAATTACTGAGTTCGTTCCGCTTAATGCCAATCAGGATTACCCTCTGCCTGTTCGGATGTGACTAATTTTAATGACCATCTTTTTTTTGCCACTATCTGCCTTGAGCAAAGCATCCCTCATTGATTGAAAAGATCTGTGTTTGTGGGAGTGTCCATTTTGTTGGTAGCAACAAAACTGTAATGCTAAAATTGATATTTGAGGATAGTAAGCCTGCTAGTAGTAGTAATACTCAATGTTGAGTCTATTTCTGGACGGGTCATAAAGTTTATCATTTCCCTGGTACAGTTTGTTTAAAAAATCCAAACCTTTTTTTTGCAGGATTTCCCAGACCCTCCTGACAGCTTCAAAGGCAGAGCAGCATCCAACATCTGGGCCCTGGAGAGTATGCCCAGAGTACGCGACTACATGGGTGAGGTCAAAGACCAGAGAAGACGAGAACTCGTGGAGAGCATTGTCAAGAGCTTTGAGGAGGAGGTTGTCCCTCAAATCAGCTCGCTGAGAAAATGTGAGTGCCTGATGTAATCATGAGAAGCTAGTCTGTTGATACGACTTAATGGAGTGACAAGGACTTTATTAAGGCTTGCCTCGCTGTAGCACAGCTATTTTGCCTGGTCTGGAGATGTCCAGGTTCTAACTAGGGACTAAAATTAACTTTTGTCATTTAAATAGTTAAATCACTTGTTTCTCCCACATGTGATATATCTTAAGGTGATTTGATTTCAAAAATTTGTGTCAATTCTTTTTTAACCACTTCCTGCCGGGGATTCCGGATCCGGACACATATGCTTTATATGCGCGGCCGGGGTCTCCGAACTCGGACAAAGGGAACAGGGCCTTGTAACAAAAGACCGGACTCGGAACAAAAGACCAGGCTGCTGGGCATTACCGACATTTTTTCACTTTCAAAAGTGGAGATAATCCAGCCTTGTTTTGAAATAGTATACCACGGTTGAGAGCATCTAGAGGGAGTGGATTACCACCGGGGACAAAAGTGCTCCACCACCGCAGCGATGAACCACACAGCACATGCTAATCTGGCCCCTATTGAAAAGAGGTCAGCAGTGCACTGAGCCAAGTTCGTGAACAAAAGAAACTTATATAACTCCGCACAATCTGGGCTCTTTTTACAAGGCTGCAGGCCTGGCTGAAATACTCGGGCATCAATGGATTTTGTCTGTCAGGCTAGAGTGGACACCAGACAGTCCTTCACGTGTTTGTAAGTGTCAAGTAAATGAAGATAGAAATTTTTAAAGAATTTAGAAAACAGAAAAAAATGATAATTATCCCGGACCAGCATCATCAACATTGATAACTGCCCTGGGAAGCAAGTGGTTAAGAGTCACAATTTCTTGTTTTGATTGACAGGTCTCATTCACAGTGACTTTAACGATGATAACATCTTAGTTGCTGAAGTATACTCTGGTCCAGATTGTGAAGACGCCGACTTGTTGCCACTGACCAAAAAGAGAAAACGGCACCCTGTGTACAACATCACAGGGGTTGTTGATTTCAGCGACTTCGCCTACAGCTGCCTGGTCTTTGAGATTGCCAGCGCTATGGCCATGATGCTTTACTCCAAGGCGGCTAATCCCACTGCTGCCACCGGCCACCTCCTGGCAGGCTTCCAGTCAATCATTCCCCTTACTGCCGAGGAGCTGGGGCTGCTGTACACCTGCGTAATGGGCAAAATAGGGCAGGAGCTAGTCCTGAGCCTCTACAACAGCCGGATGCAGCCAAGGAACCCCCACGTGGTTTTCACCCAGGGGCAGGGGTGGAAGTACATGGAGGAGCTGTGGGGAGATCCCGGCGCACGAGCCAAGGTTGACAAGCTGTGGAATGACACCGCTGCTTTGTACAGAACCTGATGACTTGAAGGGTTATGAGTGAAGAAACAGGGAGACAGATTAGAGAAATTGTGCTCATGTATACAACCAAGGCTTTGATGACAAGACCTTCCTCAGGGATGTTACGGCAGGATGTTTAGTTCACTTGTAACTTCAAGGACATTGCACATGTTAAGCCTGTGTTGCACATGTAGTTGAGTCTATCATGTGTCCAAGCAATAGACGCTATGCGTTAAGGTGGAAGTCAGAGGCTATTTGTTATTTTAATATCTTTACAATGAATGTCCAAAAGGTTTACTCAAGCCTATCCCAGAGGGAGAAAGGTATAGCCTCTAACATGACGTCATATGCATAAGTTCTATTCCATCATAGTATCATCAGGTCCCAAGCTATTCAAATAAACTGACAAAAGCATTCCTTGATCATTGTTCACTGTTAACTGAGGCTAGTCTTGTGAACGGACTTGGATGGACTCAACTACATTTCTATTACGCAAATTGATTGTCTTTACTCTGTAGTTAACTATCTATCGCAAATAAAAACAAAGTTGTGCTCAAGTACAAAACCCTTTCATAAAGTATTGCTGGTTATTAACAAAGTCAAGGCAGATGGACATTTTGAAATCTTCACTGTTGGAGAACTAGGAAAAGGTAAAGGCAAAATTTACGGCTCCAAAGACACCAGTGCTGTCTAGGGACCCGTTTCTCAAGATGCCTCAGGAAACGAGTCCTCACCATTTGTTGTAATAAGCAAACACTTCTTCCATTTCTTTGGACCAAGCCCATTTATCTGATCACATTAATTAAGCCTTTATTGTGAGGTTTCACAAGTCGAAACACAATGTATTTATCTTTACAATACTACACACACTTGAAGCGGAGGCTATATTTTCATGAGATCATTTCTGTATTTAAAAAAAAAAGTAAAAATAATGCAACTGAAGCCTTGTCTTTATGCACAAAGTAAACCTGAGTTGTTAACTGAATGTCTGTAATGTTCCTTTTCGTAAGCTTCCTCAGCATGTCACAGTTATTTCAAAAAAAGCCTCTCGGACTTCTGATTGCTTTCTGGAATGTACAAGAATTACCATTGCAGATTTTGGCTGTAGTACAAGGGTAGGAAGTCATACAGAACTTGGAAAAGTGAATACATGGTGTACGTATATTGCTTTATAGTTGTGCTGTGAAAAATCTTTCAAAAGTTAAAAAGCCAAGAAGTATGGCTCTTGACTTGGGCTTGAGTTTTTTAAGTAACTGAGGCTTTGGTTATGGTGAGCAGTGACTCATTGACTTGTCAGACTTTGGATTAAAGTTGGTAAATTTTACCAGATGATGCATGTAATGATTTAGAAGAATAATTTTTTTTGTGCTGAGAATGTCCAAAAATGATGAATTATTAACATTATTTGAGACAATGGCAAGATATGGAAAGGAACTAACTAGTTTGTGTGCTCAAATTCTAACTCCTGGCTCTGAATCGAAACATTTGATTATGATAATAAAGAAGATTTTAGGTAAATATTTCATGAGTAATTGAGAACTGGAAATTGAACTGACTTGAGACTTTGGCTCTATACTGTGGCCATGCAGAATCCTATTGAAATACCAAACTCGCTATGAAGACTGTAGTCTGGATCTTTCTTGAGCCCACATGTTTCTCAGCCAGTGTTTCGTCTCGTCGTCGGCGAATATGCACGCTATGCTGCCAAAGGACAGTTCCCACATCTGCTCGTGGGTCAGGTTGAAGGTGGTAGCCGCGATCTGGTACTCTTGGGACAGGCTTGTGGCAAAGATGCCTTTGTCATCAGTCTGGAGAAAAACCAAGAAAGATACAGGGAGCCCAATATTGCTTTTGAAATGGCTGCAGCTGCTGACTGCAGCATATGAGTTAAAAAGAAAAACCAAAGTCACAGCCTGTTTACATGGCTTGTGGGCTATGTGGATTGCAAAGAGGGCTTTCTGTAACTTAGCTTAGGCTTCATTGTTACAAATTTACCCCCTTTTGATGAAATTATCAAGTTTCAATGCAGCTCTGTTTTCTGGTAAGTCAAATTGTTACATGCACTGTTACATGTATTTTGATATAGTTCTAATGTTGGATGTCTGAAACCGGTGGAGAATGAGACGAAGCTGTGATGGGGAATAAAGTCTATGCTTACCAGTGAAGGTTATTCACTGGTTCCCATGTTTCCATTTTAGAATGCAAACCACAGCAGAGATTTGCTTCATGATGAACTTGGTAAACTAGGCTGGTTCCCCTCGGGGACAGGAACTTCTCTGAGTTTTGAGAGCTCTCCCTAACCGAGTACTTACACATATGACACACGGGTGGCCACGCTCGTACCAGTACTTGAAGTGGTGGTTGTCGAACGATTTCACCGTCTGGCCTACCATGTTGGAAGTGAGGCAGAGCTCTGCCCAGTTAAAGAGTGGAAGGGAAAACAGTTTAGAAATACAGCATGATGTCCGCTTACTGCTCGACATTGGTGTGACGGGACTTGTTATAACCCCAATGGAAGTAATTTCTGGACAATTGTATATGTCATATCCAGAAAATAAACGTTCTTTTCTGCTTCAGTGCAGTCCTGTGCGTGATTGCATTTTCTCCCTGGTGCAGGTTATTGACGGAGATAGATATTGTCGGTTTTAAACGCGATAGCGTTCACCCCAGTTAGTTTGCAATTTAGAAGTTATATGTGAACAAGTTGGGGATCGCCAACCAATCCACTTACCTGATGGGATTAAGCAAAGGGGTCACTAGAGGTCAAAGGTGAGGAAAAGAGATGTCCCACTATAAACACCACCGACACTGCCCCCCTCAATTAACAGTCACCTCCCACTGTTACCTAATGGTGTTCGATGTTTGCTGACAGCTTCCACAATCTCTTCCGATCCACCATCATCCGACTGTAGGAAAGTACCGTGGCCAATTCTGTCTGGAGGCACATGCACTAGTGACAGACTCTCGGCTGTGTTGGGAATCTAGAGGTAAATAAAGAAGAAAACTTGCCTGGCTCTGGTGAATTTGAAAATTGACCTTATTTGATACTGCACAACACTGTGATATTCTTACAGTATAGCAATATGCCCACTAAATAGCCTGGCATGCTGTGGGCATTGCCAGGAATTCTTTCCTGGAGGGAGGCAAAATGTTTCTTTCAGGGAGAAAAGCAAAGGGGGGGGATTCGGCAGCAGCAAACTGATAAATAATTAACAGCAGAAGGATGTCGATTCCAAGCTAGTTTCAAACAAATAGGTGATTTCCATCCCATTTCATTTCTATCATTTATTTTCTTTTCGTTTCTTCCTTTTTAGTTTTATTTTTTTTCGGGGAGGGGCAAGTATCTAACGCCTCCAAAGCCTCCTTCCACTCTGCAAGAAACCAATGCCCGGAAAGTAAGAATTGAAGCCAATACTTGGGCTTCCAACTTCCTAGCTGGCAAAGGTTCAGCCACAAATGCATTTAGCTGGAACCTGAATACCGCTTAACTCCTATCACCCCACAGGGTAATTTGTTCACAGCAATTCACCTCTGCTATGTGTAGTGCAAGCTTCAGTCCACTCTCCCTTGCATCAAGGAGCAGAGGTATGTACTGCCTCGCATCATTCTTCTGTAGGAAAAGTGCACGCAATGTCACTGGATGTTTAACCGCACGGAGAAAGTGCTGGCAAAATAGGAGCACGTCAACCTTGACTTCTGGTAAGGTGATAAATGTTCTTTTGCTTACAAGCTTTTGAAAAGCTGTGAAGGCATTCGTGAATTGCTTTCTAAAAAATTAGGAAACAGGTCCTCCTTGAAAACAAAGACGAAAGACTGGGCTTTGTACAATGGTGAATACATGTCGTTGTCATGTGATTGACATGAACCACTTCAACATAGCATAAAAGGACACACCCGAATGGACACTGTCCAAGTGCTGTAGATGACTGTGGCAAATATATAAGATGACAAAGGAAACAAATGACATGACAACTTTCCACTAAATGTGCCCAAATTGAAACAGCATTGAGGTGTCCACTAAATGTGCCCAAATTGAAACAGCATTGAGGTGTCCACAAATTTCACATTTTTACAGCTCCAAGATTAGTTTGGCCCAAAATTCCTTCAAGAAAATAGTCCATACGTAGGCCTTGGCGCATCCCTACTGTGACATGTACCTTCGGGTCCCCACTGAAGTCGATGCCCACCACCACACCATCACTGCTGGCCTGGAACTCCCTTGCAAGCTGAACCGTCTCACGGGCCGTCTCCAGATCTCGACCGCGGTCGATCGTCAACAGAAATCTGGGACGGAAGGGGAATTACAGGATGGCATTGTGCAGTCAGATGCAACAGACCCTTTGCCGATGGTAGCCACCTAGGTATCTTTTCTTGTTGTAATTCACTGACAGTAAACATTACTTTGTATGCCCTGTGCTACAGCAGACATGCAACTCTGTGATGGGTGGCAAGCAAAGAATTCCCTGAAATTTCTGTGAGGAAACTTTGGAAGGTGATATTTGGCCAACTCACAGGAAAATAGACTTGCTTCCTCAGTCCGGTATGCCCACTGGGGTTTCTTTGTTTTTTTGGAAGCATGTCTTCAGTCAGATATAAGCACTTCAGGTAGATGGACCAAAGAGATTTTTTTAAACACAAAACCCAGACCCAATAGCTACCATCAATTACATTATGATCATAACAAATATCGTCAATACACAAAAGGAAAATAAGGGGCAAACTAGGTAACCTTGCATACGGGAGAGACGAAATCAGGAATGAGTTGCTCTGAAGTGACCTACCAAGGATCTTCACGACCATCGGATACCAATGCCTGAGATTGGCTGGCCACTGCGTATGAAATCCAGAGATTGCTGCAAACCAACTCATTCGATGGGAACCAACATATGGACCAGCTTCTAGAGGAGGGGACAGACACTAACTCATATGGACCAACTGTGTTGAGTCACTGAACTAGCCTCCACAGCGGAGATTACGATCATGGGAGATCGTTATGTGTGGCATGCCTTTGTTGTTGTCTGACGACAGTCGAACCGATAATTATGATGGCAAGGGCCATGTGAAATACTTCAACGGAAAAAGGTCACATGCTTCCCAAATATAGGAGCTACCGAAGTCCATAACGATAGCCCTGCACACCTGCAAACTCACCTGACTGTGATGTCAATGCCATCGTCTTTACACTGCTTTATTGAAGACAAAACTGCTTCCACATAGCTTCTCTTTGTCATTCCTATATTGAGAAGAAAACAAATGACAGCAGCTCGGGTTCTACCTCCCTTAATCCTCCAAAATTCCCCAAAGGGTAGGTTAAGATATAATTCCAAAAATCTTTGGGAGAGAAGTCTTCCCTATTACCTAATACTTATCCATCCAAGCCACATACCAGTCTCTGGTACATCTTTAGGAGTGCTCCGCAACTCCAAATACTTGATGCCATCCTCGGCAAACTCTCGGATGACATTGCGGGTCACTATCGCAACAGCTTCGCAACTGTCAACAAGCTGGTGGATTAACTTGAACATTTCAAAGCAGCTAAAGGTGAAAAATGGAAGAAAGCATGTCAGAAAGAGATTGAAGGCAACTCATTCCTCAGAATATCCTGCTGTAATGAAACCAGCAGGTCTCATGAGGCATGATCGGTGAAGTAATTCAAAGACAAATGAAACCTAAAAATCCCTCCATGGCAGCTGATGTGGGAGGTATTTGAACTTGGGGTGTTTTTTTTCAAATTTCAGCTTGGTTTCCATCCAGGGTTTCAGTTTCACACATATCCGATAAGATATAATTTTATCCCCCCCCCGTGAGAACTCTTCACGACATGTCTGACGTGTGCCCAATGATAAAAACCTTTCGAACATGATTCTCCACATAAAGCAGGAAATGAAACCCCAGACTGGAAAACAGCCTACATAGCACGAGGCCCAACACAATCATGTGAGAAAAACTCACTGACTGTATTTGCTACTGCATAGAAAATGCAAGCAGATTTCCAAGGGAAAAACAATTATTAGACCTGTAATTACAACAAAAATAAGAGTAGGAGATACAGATGGACAGAGAGAAGAAAATACTAGGTACCCATCCAGTGTCATTTGTTCTCCTTTCTCCACTTTGTTCTTCCATTGCCGTAGCGGACTGATATCTGGTTGCGGTTTCCCTTGTTCCTGATTCTTTGCAAGTAGTTCTTCAATGGTTTCTGTACTTATTGAACCATTGATATGGGCATGGAGCTCCTAATTTAACAAATGAAAACCACATTGTCACAATGAGCGCAGTAAAAATATGTGGCAGACATGGCAGAGGTTGTGGATAACATTTTTGTTAAAAGTGACATAGGCCCTAGGCCTATCTATCATCAGAGAGTCCCCTATATATCCTTAAAAAAATCTAGTCATGCTAGTTGATTTCGATTCAACAGTCCTGGTCCGCATCACGGTAGCCATGGCCCTGTGGGATTTGTCGTTCGCCGCGCTCCCGCCTTCGTCGTGAGAGCTCTGTCTCAGTCATGCACGTCAGTGACAGTGTCCACGGCCACGGGTCTGGGAGCCCGGCAGACAACGGGCGCAAAGTCCATAAATTCGTTTTCTGAACACTTACGATTTTAGGCAGGTGCTTGTAAAAAGATTCAACTTCCATTTCCGAGTTTTTGTCGTGGACCAAAGCAATAATCGATGACCGCTGAATACAGGCCCAACCCACTTTTACCCTGAAAATATCATGAACTCGTGATCATGGGCGCTGCCATATTGTAAATTATTAATATCATCCTATAGAGGGCGACATTCATTTGGACCACTGATGTCACAGACATGAAGTTAACTATGTCTGTGGTTGATTCAGAAATCAGTTGCATCCAAAAGTTGAGCGTTTCCGTCAAAGTCTGAATATTACCTTTATATGAAAGGTGGGTGGCTCTGTTTCGAACAAAATTCGTAAACAATCAGAACAAAACAGCACCCAAGTTACCAACACATTGTGATAGATTAACTTGAAGCTTAGCACCTATTTATTCACATTCACAAATGCAAAATATATAAATAGGGAATACCAGATGAACACAAAATCAAGGGAGTTGGAACCATTTCCAAATAACAAACTGACATAGGGGTGTCAATGGTCTGATACACATATCTCCGAGCCTTTTGGACAAAATTATTGACAAAATATTGTATGCCAAAGGGGTGTTGAAGCTGAAACAATGCATCCAACACAAGGAACACAATTGTCCTTATAACAATGCCACAATAAATTAAGACCTGCCTACTAAAATCAAATAACGTAACCTTTTCCCGTCCCATATCAGAGGTGTTTTTTTTTTCTCACAAAGTTGATCCTGTACTAAGGATATCCCACCAAGCAGCGATGTGTTCTAAGGAGGAATCTCGGGGTGAAATGTAATGAAAATATTTGCACTGAAAGCTTGAAAAAACAGGGAAATATGTTGAACACTCAGTTCTCCTCTAATGGAGAATGGAACATTCCCGGTGTGCTATGCTCAGCAAACAATGTTGGTTTAAAAGCAAAGTATTACAGTGATAACGGCACTAGCTGAAATGGACCAAATTTAATTTTGGTACAAAAGTGCTTTCAGCTTCATGCATTTGCCAATTTTTTTTTTCTCACCAGAATACTACACAGAAAGTAATGTCTCGCTACTATAGAAGGCTTATCACAAAACTGGTCCAGAAAACCTAAAAAACAACAAAATTTAACACTGTGGGCATAAAATATAAACCTTCAAGCATAAATGGCCGGTAACAGCTTACACAAAATAAAGATCATTTAGCATCAAAGCCAACAATGCGAATGCTTTATGTTTTGTCTCTATTTTCAACCTCAAACTTCAGTCTTATGTTTTTTAGTTTTTCAGAACGAATAAAATGTTTGTCAAGCCCATAACCAGGGGTCTCATTGCACAAATAACCTTTTTTTTTTCTTTTTACAAAAGTTGCCAACTTTTTCCAAAAATCTTAAGACACTCTATTTAAACTGCTCTTATATCTGATACAGTGCAGTTCTGAATTTGTTTCATCTGAGTTTTAAAAAAAGATCAATCGTCACTCAGCCGGTGTCATCTTCAAGAAGACAGAGCATCACTCAGCAGCTCTCAAGAAATCCTGTCTTCAAATGTGTGCACAGCACAATTGAAGTCTAGTCCATGGGCTGGTGTCTGACATGGAAATTGACCACATACTCTGTGTTAGTCCGCTGGACTGATATTGCGAAGGGCTCGTAGGGGTGAAAGGTGAAAGCCACTAAGCGGCGAGCTGACGGTGGAGATGGTCGGCCAAGCATCCCTGCGTGGATCTTGAACTTCAAGATGCCAGAGTCCCGAGCATAGAACCTTCATCGGTAAGACAAAAAACAGAAAGTAATGTACTTATCATAAATACTGATAACAGGATCATACTCCGCTGTGGGATGAAAGGCTTTCGCAGATGAATTCCAATAAACAATTTTTAGGATATTGGAAATATTTCTGTGGAGATTCTACTGAATTAGTGAATTATGGAATGTACGCTGGATGTGGAGTCTGTTAAATCTATTTAAGTATTGTACATGATAAAAAGGATTAGTTCTCCCATTGAACTGATGTGCTGGAGATCAGATAATACTTTTGGCATTTCTGGTAATTAATACAGAAAAACTGGCTTTGACAGCCAGCTGTAAAGTTACCCATTCCTGGCCCCTGGTTCACTAAAACAAACCGCTTTCATAGAAATGCCAAGCTCTTCCTCCAACATAGCTTCCATCCATTTCAGGGAGACTGTTTGGAAATTCTGAGGTAGATTGCACTTATAAAAAAACTGATATAGCATGGACAATGCAGCAGCAGAAATCTCTGTGATTAACTGCATATCCCTCCAGTGACACAGTGAGCAGCTCAATGACACTGACCCCTTGCTAACAAAATGACCAGTGAACAGTCAGTCACCATTACACAGCAAGAAAAAGTGCTTTCAAAGGGTATTTCATGAAAATTAATGTGCCCGGAAGTCTACCTGATTGGGTGATCTCCACATGCTTTGGGTCTCTCCATAACCGACACCCACTTGTCATCGTAGCTGAACAGAGAGAGGTCCAGGTAGGGGCTGCTGCTGTATGACTGGGAGCTGATTGGGAGCTGGGCCAAGAGCCTCTTTACTGCCTCCGTATGCCCACCGTACCTCGCGTTGATGATGGTGTGCTTGAACCGTCTCTGGATCTGCCGGGCATAGATGTTGCTGGACGCGGAGCAGGTGAACTGGGCGTGAGCGTGCAGAGTGGCATTGCGGAAGAGATCGCAGAAGTTCTCAAAGAGCTCCAGGAGCTCCTCGGAAGTGTTCTCGAAGACTGCCACCACCTCAGTGGTCAGCATGTTGTAGACGACAAAGAAGGAGGGCTGGGAGTTGGGGTCCTGGGTCCGAAGCGTCACCACGTCCTCGCTAGCATACTTTATCAGGAGGTGATTCTCGTCCAGCAGCTGGATCTTCCACATTCGCAGCCAGCGGAAGTAGTCAAAGTACTGGAAGAAGCGGCGCATGGCTGTCGGCGTGCCCTGGTCATGGGCCTGCCGCCACAGGTACACCAGGAGCCGGTGTTTTAGGGAGTTGATGCTTGTGTCCCGGTAGGGCCGTGCCAGGGAGGAATTGGGCGGGAGTAGGCTGCCCTCCTGGCTCGCCAGCAACACCAGTCCGTCATCTTCATAGCAGAACCGTCCTATTGTCCGCACATCGATGAAATTGCCATCTGAGGTGACCTGGAAGATGTGGATAGTCTGCTGTTGAACTGATAAAACCGCTAGGATATTCTTGTAAAGGTAGAGTCCCTGGTTGTGGGACAGGAAAACCTTGTCGCATTTGAAGGTCCGTGAATCACAGAGAACCCCTAGCTGCAGGTCCACCAGGTGTAAGGAATAGTCCTCCAATGGTGAACGCGGGTTGGGGGAAACTGACTCATTGTTCCGGTAAACATCATAGAAATGTGGATATGGTTCTTCGGGCACGTAGGCCGCAGATCCCACAATGACGTACCGGCCGTCATCCGTGAAGAGACTACACTCACGGTTGAGGTGCTCCCCATTGGGGGCAACGCTGACAACATGATGCAATGCAAAGAATCTCTGGAAGAGCTGTCCACGAATTCCCTGCGCTTCCACAACATCCACAGGTGCTTTTTTGCTTATCCTCTGCAACAGGTCACACGCTGCAGCTGGCCCTTGGAACCTGTAAATCTCCAGTGATGTCTGGTCGGCAGAGAAGGCGATGAAGTACTTCCCATCCGGAGAGAACTTTCGCAGGAAACAAGGTGGTTTCTCAACATTCACCACCGTGAATCCTGGAAACACGTTCTGGTGGAAGGACCTGGCGACATGGAACTGCGTGCCTGGTTTGCACCGATGGGTCTGGCGATGGAAGAGCCTATAGACTATGTTCTGGTGAGGAATTTTCCGAGGGCGGATGAATTCTTCTTCTGGCAGATTTACGCTATGTTTTGTAGTTTTTCCAAAGTTCCCTGTGGAATCACTACCACTGTTACTATTTACAATCAACCCATTTTGTGAGATTTCTTTTGGGGTGGTCATAACTCATATTTGCAAAGCAGAAACAGGCAGAATTTCTGAAACTCTGTTAACCTGAAAGCAAAAAAAATCAAATACAGTTGTAAACATTCTACATAATTTACTTTCCTAACTGCTACAAAGTTCTAAATCTTTATTACCAACAATTAACATGGTTATATAGAGATGTGCCTGTTTGGCATGATCAGTCGATCTTCCACAACTGTGAATGAGAATGGTGATCAGCTGATGGTGGAAATATTAACAAATCTTGTTAAAAGATTGACCAATCAGGCAACAGTCGACTGACTGCACTCATGCTGCACAAACTGTACTCAATACACAAATGGATTAGGATTCATGAGTACAAACAAGGTGCATGTATGGGCTACACATGTCATGTAGTTTTATAAGGACGTATCACATAAATACATGCATAATGCTTTGAACTTGCGAAAAATAAATTCGCAGCCTTACCCAGACTAGGCCTAGGCCTATGTCGGACATTAACGTGTGTGATAGTATAGTCACCGGGTCCCTAATTTCGCCACTTACTAAGAAAACCAATCAGACTTAACAATTGGTGATGAAATTAGGGACCTGGCGACTATACCATCACGCACGTTAGTCATGCTATGAGTATTTGACTGGGCTACACTTTGTAACTCAAACAGGACAGACATGATAAAACAATCAGTGAATCACTGTGATGTGACATGGGGAGCAAAAACATTTACCATCATTTCTAACAGTGACATTCTTCAGGAGATCATGTTCAGGGAGTTAGGGGCGTACAGTAATAGTACGTTTTCACTCACCACACAGTCAGTAATTAGGACATGGAGGATGGCACTGGCAGTGTCTTACAAAAAGTTACAAACATCAGCACAGCAGGCCGGGCACGATCAGGGCGATTTCCAGCACGCAAAAAGCTGAACAAATTCTAACGATCAATTGATTAATTAAATAACAAATCTTGCACTTAAAAATAAGCGCGTTTATTATTCCTTTAATCTCGAAAAATATACCCAGGTATAGGCTGCTCGTATTATATTACATTTCACAAAGCAAAGAAATGTTGACGTGAGCGTGAGGCATCACGCAAATTACTCCATGGAGGCAGCCATATTGAAGGTACGTTTACCATAGTCTTGAGTGATTTTTCGGTGTTAAAGAAAAAAATGCAACAAATACAAATTGGACATTTGAAATATTGCCAATATATATCTAACGAAAGGCTGTAATAAAAATATACATTTTTCATGTTTAATGATTATTATATTTTATTTTCAAAGCTCAGTTTAACAAGTTGAGACTATGGTAAATCACGCGGGCATATGAGTTTATGTACTGCGTGCACGCATGCACGCAACATGCCTGAATGAGCTGCATTTTATACAAACGACATCGACATACAGTGTACACGAACGTACGTACGTACATGTACACCCAACGCTATATCCTTCCTTTGTGCGGGATGCTCAAGGTACTTCCTCGTTTGTTTGCGTATGGTAAGTACTTTTCTCCTAAAAAATGCACGTTCACTGTTGTTTATCTTGTAAAATATATCATTGTTAGACAAAGCATGAAACACACGTTTATTTTAAAGTTGCAAAGCTGCATTTTATACTCGTTTAAAGAATTTTCACGACGGTATTTATTTTGATGGAACCGTCGACATCAACCCACTCGTCGTGCCGTGTGCGCCGTGCATGTTGCATACAGTGTATTGGGTTGCAGTGTGTGAATTTCGTTGTGCCTGGGCACCATGCGTTTCCATCGGCTTCGAGTTGAAGTCAGCTCGGTCACACAGCAGTTCGGAAGAAGTAGTCATCCCATTTCTAAGGCAACAGGTTTTTAAAAAAAAGTTACTAAACGTACCAAGATCTAACATTGTTAACAAGACTTTGGCCTAGGTTTTATTACTATGAGTATGAGAACTGACTATCATAACCTTTTTGATGCTCGCAATGCACTAAGCCTTATTTCTAATACCACTTGAGTGATTTTGCATAATTATTATTATTAGGCTATTACTGGTTTATTTTTAAAAGTACTCTTACTGCCAGTGGCAGAATTGTGAATACAGTTTACATGTACATTAAAACAGATTAATATAAAATTATACATACATTTAAAAGGGAAAAATTATAAGAAAACTGAAGGCCTTGAATACCTTCAATACCTTGCAGTAAAAAGCACATTAATATCAGTTAAAACATGCAAAAAAGGGTAAAATTAAATAACACAAAAATACAAATTGATGCCATGATGGAAAACAATGCCGTTTACAAAATGTTATACATATAGTAAATAGAGATAAGGGGGAAAGTACAGGAGGGAGAAAGGGACATAAATATTGGATAAGGCCAGGAAGGGGTCAAAGGGAAGGGGAGGGAGGGGGGTCAGGGGTCAAAGGGAGGAGGAAAGGAAGAATCCATAAACGAAAGTAATAGAGAATAAAAAGCAGGAAGGGGATATGGACTTAAATATCGGATAAGGTCAAAAAGGGGTCAGTGGGAGGGGAAACAAGGGGAGGGGGTCAAAGGGAGGGAGGGGAGGAATAGATACACAAACTACATGTAGCAGGAAACTTGAAAGAAACATTTAACCAGTGCAAGAAAAAGGAGATTTATTTTACTATTAACCCCTTTGCGCCGGGACGCGGCTAGAGCCGCCGTAAAAATTGAGATCCTCAGCCCGCTTTCAGCTATTATTCTCGGCCCACGCTCGAGCAAACACTGTGAAAGAAGGCAGACCCTGGCTCTTGTATATATGGTGATTGGCCTTTGTGTGTAGCCCAGAAATGAAAAAACCGAATTTGCATCATAACAGGGCCACAAACCGAGAATTTGCGGTTTGGCAGGTGGCCTTAATGGCCAAGCGAGGCTGGAATTCTTGGAGTCGGCTTTCGAAAAGAAATTCCCGTCGTCAAGGGGTTAACATTTATATTTTCAGAATTTGTGACTGCAAACATGGATACTGATGAATAAAGATGAAAAATGGATCATTTAGTAAGAAATCCTACATAGCATTGTGTTTCCAATTGTTACACTTTCTGAGCTTTTTCTCAAAAAGTGCTTTTATTGAATCAGAAAATGTTGATATACAAATGTCTAAATATCTCTGGAACGCAGTGCACTACAGGGGTCATTCATAAATCAAATTGTAGCTTTCGATGTACTCAATCCAGCTAAATAAAAAAACTGATCACCTGAATCTGGTGACTTATTACCCATTTTTCTAGAGCCGGTCACATTTACATGTATGAGGTGTGAATTTTGTGAACAGGACCTACACCACATTTTACAAGTCTATTCAGTGCCTCTGGACTGGTTTCCTCTTTTTTCCTAACCCGTGAGTAGAGCGAATGTAAATGGCAACCAGTGAAAACATGACGTCCCCGGATGTGCTGTGCCGTTTGCCCACAATATGTAGACAGGGCGGTGTAGGCTGCTATGAGCCAAAACATGGCGCAGCATACCGGTAGACCGACCTGATTTCATTCTTCAAATGTTGTCAAGCTTCCTGAAGTATAAACTGAAATAGGGACATTTTAGGGAAAATTACGGTACTCCATGAACATGAACATGTCTAGTTGGGGTGCTCACAATAGGGAACTCATGGCAGGGTGGTTGCAACTCACCTTCGTTTGTTATCGATACCTGCTGCGGGCACTGGGGCATGTTGAAACAGGCATGCTTTATGGAAGCGGGTGCATCATGCTTCATGCACGCACCTCCCACGTGCTTCGTAGTCGTTAAACCTCGATAAATCTACGGTCAGCTGTCGGGCGTGCAACGTGTTGATGCTACACGTAAATGGGATCGTGGTATGAGGGCTGACCGCATGCGAACGATCATCGTGTTTATCGTGCACGTATTAACTCTCTCCATAAGTGTGCCCGTACATGTACAATTTTTCCCCATTAGGAGCCAATGGCTACCAAATACTGTTTTTCTGTTTCAAGGGTTGTATGCATGACCGTGAAAGGCAGACTTTCCTTGTCCACACGAAGGGTCATGGGAGCCCTGAAAGGTGTGAGCCATCAAGTAGGAAATGGAATTGGGGAAAAAAAAGGTTCCATAGTCATTTTGATAAATATGATAATAAATGATACACTTCAAAATTTTGATTTTGGAGCATGCTCTGAAGGTTTTAGGAATGTAAGTTAATCCTTACACGTACATACTGTAGAAATGTCTCTGACCTTTGTTTGTATTCGTAAATGATAAGGAAATAGCAAGGTTCTTGGTGGAAGGAGTTCATTTTATTGATTGTTGTCAGAGTGTGAATTATTTGGTTTAAATACAGGCACCTGTACCTGTAGACTGTAGTTTGGGCATGGCATAAAATAGTATAAATTTTATCGTCAAATACTGTAGAAAAGGAATGATGTTAGGGTGAGGAGCCATCTTGCTTCATTGCTTGGTAAATATTCATGCTTTCCATATAGGGAGTTTACTGTAATCATGCGGAAACAGCTGCTCTCATGAGCCACTTCTGGGCAACACATTCCACTGTGAATGAGTACATGTACAGTACCTGCCTGGACTGGACACATGTACAGTATATCAGTACTCAAGATTGTACATGTCCATGTAATCAACGTGCTGAAGTGACAACTACAGTATTGTCAGAGTGGCAGCTTTTGCTTGTGATGAGCGCCCTCTGTTGGCAGATAGTAGAGAGGTTTCAGGCACAGATATTGTGAGGTGACCCACTGCTGTGTACAGCAGATTGTTTCCATGGTGACTACTCACCAGCGGTTGTCTGAAGATGGTTATTTACACATGCAGGTGACTCCTGCCCTCTGTTGTCATGCTGAAGGCAGTTTGGGATGAGGATAATGGGAAGAACATTGTCAGTCCCCCCCCCCCCGAAAAAAAGACAACAGACAGTTCACTTTTGTTTTCACATGTGCTGTGTATCACTGATGCACAGAACTAATGCCACTGAAAGATCTTTTGTCTGCACATTGATCATGGGTGCACGAGTTTTTCAGAGTTGCCATTTGATGTGTGATCGAGACCATATGAAATAGATGGGTCCGGTGCTACCCTGAACCTTGAGTTCTTTTGTTTGGTTTCGAGGGTTTTTTTGAATCAAAAGTGAAAAGCCCTCATATTTTCCTGTAACATTTCACCAGTGAGTTCAAGTAGTGATTTAGTCAGTCATACCACTGTCTTCCCACTTTGTGTGGCCAGTTGGTGAAAATTTGTTGATGTCACGGGGGAGACTCACAGAGTCAGCTGAATAATGCACAGTGTCCCAAATGGTAGATTTTGAATAAAGCTAATGGCAAAACTTCTAGCTACATATATATGTGCTGTATTTTTGCTACTAAATTCTTTTAATGGAGTGCTTAGTGTAAATTCCTTCTTGCTACCAGTAGTTGGTCAGGAAAATTGCAGATTTTGTAATTATTCGTCAACGGGTGACTGACAACTGAAATCCTGCATAATCTACACTCGGTATAAATGGTAGAGTTGCAGAGCCATTTAATTTCTCCCGTGTTGAATTTCATGTTTGTGATGGAAATGTGGAAGGCCACAAATGGCTCATGAGAACAAAACGGGCTTGGGGAGTCCATGTTTACTCTGCATTTTTGAAAACAGAATGGCCCAACTGTCCAATGTCTAAAAGCCCCTTAGGCTGTTAACAGACAAAACGTAAAGCTCATGTTTGCTTTGTGGCTGTCTTCCTGCCACGAGGTTCATCTCTTGCACTTTGCACACACAAATCAAAGATGGACTCTTTTCCTGCTCTTTTTTTTTTTTTTTTTTTTTTTTACTTGGAGACTAATTGATGAAAAAATAATTTTCATGCAGCCACGCGTGTGCTTCGGAGTATCTCCTGCAGAAGAAAGAACGGCGGCAAATTAAATTGCTTCTCTTCATTTTGCTTTCACTGGTTGGGTAAAGTGAATGAAAATGGGGATGCCGAAAATAGAAATTTAATTTACCTCCTGAAATAAAAAGGGAGAAAGATGACTTGGCACCAGACATGTACACATGCAGAATGTTTCTGGAATTGTAGATGGCTTGTTTTTTTTTTATTTGTGCGTTTGATATACGGACGAGGTGATTAGAAAGACTTGAATGAGGTAGCAGTCATTCCAAACAGTGTAAACTGTAAAATGAGAACTAAATGAAGGTTTGTGCACAGGTGAAAATTGTATACCCGTATTTCTTCTTTGATAGCCTTTTATGTAAATTTTAGACACCTGACCTGAAGGGAAGTACACATTCATAAGTGTCACTCTGAAACCGACTTACGATAATTTACCAGTCTCTAGAATAGTTTGAGGTTCTTTCTTTGCTCGTAAACATACATGTACAGTACCGGTATTCAGTGTTCCTTGACATGCTGCGTTAAAAAAGTAAAAACAAATGGGCATTCAACTGAAGCTTTTGCCAGTCGGAACCCTGTTCAGTTCTGCAGTGTCCTGAAGAAAATCCTGGGTTTTGTGTGAAGACCAAGTGGCAAGTCCCATCATATACCGGTACAT